ATGACCGGCATCGGGTATGCCCACTTTTGACTTAAATGCGCGATTAGCATGTAATGAAGAGAGTTTCTGCACTGACAGTGATGTGTCCCGTATACCAGTGGTTATAAGTGTGCTGAAAGGAATGGTGACTGTCCATAGATAGGGATTTCTATTTTTCTTTTCGGAGGGATTCAAACCTGTGCAAACTTTTCCCCCAAAACTCAAATTCTGGACAGATTCAATTGTGGTTTCAAGTCCTCGATGATTTCTATGCAAATATACCAGTATAAGCTGGTATCCTTTTACGACATATTTTTTCATGTTTCCTGGACGAGCTAATTATAACAGGCCTTGTCGAGATCAGACTGCCCGTTGCAGTCAGAGTAACATAACTGAAGCCCTTACATTTGTCATAAGATTTCTGCAAAGCAAACCTCACGGAGCCAAATTGAATACTAATTGCAATACGATCGCTCACTGCTCAACGACATCTGACTTATTCCTCGAAATAACTCCAGGCCCATGCCACTGAATATCTGTGAATGTTAGAATATTCCTGCCACTGACTGCTCTCCTTTGGGGCCGCGGCTCACACACAGATCAAGTCAAAACCATGCCAAAGCCCACCTCAAACCCAAAGCCAGTCACACGGTAAATCGTCATCAGTGCAGGGCAAGTAATTCCTCGTAATAACATCCCTAGTCACAATGTTGTTAAATGTAAGCAATGCTGTAAGACGTAAGGACCACCTACCTACAGCAGATTATCCCCGCCTCCTGTCGCGCCCCTCCTTAAGCCAAGTCAAGAAGGCAATTATCCTCGTCTTCCAACTGACTGGTGATGAGTCCACGAGGGTTGGAGTTCACATTTTTTGTGTAATGAGGTTGCACTTTGGCCAGCGTGATAACGCTGGGGCAGGACTCCGTATGCAGTGCGCTTAGACCCATTATATCTGTTGTCCAGTTAAAGAATAAGTTGGTTGGGCCTAGTAAAAAATAGGCACATGATCTACCCTTTGAAAGTCGAAGTCAAGAATCATTTCCGCCCTATATTCGCCGAGACAAATTTCATCACATCAGGACTTAACCCAATAAGTACTCATCACGCGATAAGACAGCACGTGCTTGTAAACAAACACCGTTGCCAAGACAACCCTATACTATATCGCTGGCGGTTCAGCACGGATCACGATCTCTTGGCAAGGGTTGCGATGATAGTACTCCATACCGGTTTCAGGTGATCAATTTTGCGGGTAACGACTTACTCCCCGAAGGATTGGTTGCGAAATGCAAAGCGGTTTGGCATTCCAAAGTTTGTCGCAACGGCGAAAAACACAGTCTGTATGATAAATATTCTCTGATATTTCAATCCAGACGAGTTTCCTTGATGCATGTCAAGAGGTCATCCGTGACCTTAGCGGCTCAGACACGTTGTTATAATTTCCTCAAATCCTCAGCCTTAAAAAAGAGAATCTTTTAAATGGAGAGGCTTCCAAGGTATAGACATAGGTAGTGTCACGATGAATCTGACACACTTCAATAGTGATTTTTAAGATTCATTGTGCCTCAAGGGGTCTCCCACAAGCCACGTGGTTTCAAACCGCAGACCACAACTCAATAATTATGAACTTGAAGGGCTCTTGCTGCTGTCCGTTGTACTGAATGAACTTCAAAGGTAAGTCCGATAAACCTCGCCCGCTACGCTAATAATGACTAGAAAATCGTCCAAGTCTTTCTGAGCTGCTGTGTCGGGCACATCATGTACGGTAAAATTACTGGGTGATTTATTTATCATAGGCCCTACAGATACAACACAATGTCCATTCAATGTCTAACACGAAATGATCGCCTTAGGTCATAACCTGAGCAGCGCGCGCATTCATATACGTACATGTTCTGTAGTTTACAATTTCCAACATTCAGAAATTAACCCTTCATACATCCATCGAAAACCAGATACTGGAGCTCTGTCCAGCATCATATCCATATGATCTTATTTCTGTTTACCGAAATTGAACAAAACTAAACGATTGCAGCTGAGGTCCGTAGCAAACTAGCTAGCTAAAGCATGCTGTAGAGCCTGCTTGCGGTGCAAACAACCGTTAGCTGTGGCATACACGTTTCATCGACTACCAGGTTTACACCGTAAACATTCCATGCGCTACGAAAAAATGTGTCTGAAGTGATTTAGGCCTAATGTTAGTTAGCCATGGGCTCGACGTCAAGCTCTCCCCATCAACCAGAGGCCATTGGTTCTCAAAAGCATCTTCGCATTCCAAGAGGAATCCCGTCTTAAGCTATGGCATGCCGGACGGATCAAAGTCTTGCCTCCGATGAAGTCCCACAAATCCTGCTCTCTGATTTATCCCTTACCCTCCGCTTAAAGCTCCCATAAACCTCATTACCTGTTTACGTTAAGCGAAACCTCACAATCGACAACCAGACAGATAATGAAAGTTTGAGTCAATATGCCTCAACGAAGTCAACTTTGGCGCATCTGAAATTGCCTAATTTTCCAACCCTGTTCCAATTAAAAATTCGTAGAACTGGGGGCTCTCATTTGACTAGTTGAGAGCACAGAAGTGGAGGACTAAATTCGAGAAATATAGATGACCTGTTTGGAAATAAATCTGCCTTCTTCCAAAGCCTTGTCGTTAAACATGCGAGAAGTTTGGAAGTCTAAACATTCTTTACGCCATACAGAATCGGAAGCTTCTCTTTCATCTAAGCGGCAGATCTAAATAAAACTGCTGACTCATGCTTACAGCTCTGGCATTTTGGCCATGAAAGTTTCTTTGTATGACTTGATATTGATTTTTAACTGGTAGTTTGTTGCGGCAAAGAAAGAAACCAATATGCATTGCCACAGGAGAAGCTATAAAGCACCACTAAACCACCTTCTGTGAATACTTCACTGATTCCAGCAATGGGGTTAATAATGCCCCAAAACATGTCGACAATTACTACGCGTATATTCTTTGTTAATGGCCTTAAGTGGGCTTCCTATAACACAGTGTTGGATAACCACTTAATGTCCAGCTACTGGGGCCCGAGAGTCAAACTTACCATCCATATCCTCAACGTCGAAAACGGTGAATATTTGCATCATGTTTCGTGTAGCAGTGTGTCGTCAGGATACCATTTGGGAGGCACCGTCATTCCCCATTTTCAAATATTTTATGCGAAGTAATGATATACCACAGAACCCTCTGTCTGTGCAAGTTAAACGGACGGATGTGAAACTTGTCCAAACTAAATAAACACAAACTCTTAGATATATACACACTGAGCAAGTTTTGACATCATTATAATATAAAAGCTTCATGAAAGGGAGGGGGTTGTGGCAAAAGGAGACTTACAGAGAATCGCCACCGTGCCGTGTGTTAAAAATGGGATTTAACGACGGGGATACAATGTACATGCCCTCGGCTAACTTGGAAACGTTTGTCACACAAAACTGTAGAATGGTAGTTGGTAAACATGTCGTCTAGGCCGATGAGTAAGCAGTCAATTTCGTGCATGCGTTCGGCAACTATCGCCCCAATAGTGCAAACTTGAGTAGAATACATGTATTTTGCCTGTCTGGTTTGAACGCAAGAGCGTATAGTGATCAAAACCCGGCGTGTTATTCGGAGAAAAACCACGGTAATTGTTAACACTGAAACCTGAATGCTAAATGGATATTTTGACAATCGATCTAACTAAAGATCATGCTGACTTAACTGACATCCTATCTTGTCCGTTTGACCGGCTAATTATCTGACATTCTGGACCGTTACAATGCAGAGTTTGACAGCATGACAAGGTTTTCTTTGAGAAGAAATAGTGAGCTTTTCTAACATGCACTTCTCAGAAAAGGGAGGCAGAGAACATCCAAAGTACTACATGATGTGATGCATCTTGATCGCCGACACGCATCAAAGACTGCCGGTTGACAAATAAGCCAATAAAGTGTTTGCCTGAACTACCGGTTAACAATGCTCAGATATGCAATCATCCATGATGACAATATTATGCAAGGTCATCCTTGTGAGCAAAGGACACACTATCTGTTGAGTAACATCCCCGTGGCCATCTTGAAGACGTTCCGTCATTTCTATGCACGATAGTTATTTTCAAATTACATGAATAGTCCAGCCTTTTTGTCTACCAGGTCACAGACACATGCTTGATGCAACATTTCCGATTCTTTAGGGCACAGCAAGCCTTTACTTTCCACAGTCCATATGATTATGAGGAGCACCGTGCGTGTGGGCAAGCGAGCACGGACGGGCTCTGAGCGGACCTCGAATGAGGCTAATCTCGCGAATGTTCTTCAAGATGCCTTTGTAAGACACCAGTAGCGCAGAGAATGTAAGGCAAAGTGGAGAAAGCAGGGGCAAAGAGATCAGGGGTAATGACGTGACATCTGAGCCTCTTCGGAATGTTGGCTTGTCAGTATCGATGGACTGAACGGGTTAGGTGAGATGGAAACTGAAAGTGAGTAGTGCTTAGAAAGTGATGACGGACAGGGCGTGGATCATTAAGGTATATCAGGACATGCGGTAAAAAGCCATTTGTTTTTATTGGGATAAGCACAGATGGAATTGGGATAAGGTCATGGGACATTTTTTTCTTACAAATCACTAGAGAACTTCCGAGGAATTCTGGCATCGAGACTAAAGACAACATTAAATAATTATCGTTAAATTTCAAATTTGACCAACCAATACCAATGGAATCGCCACCAGCAGAACTGAAGTTGTGGCGGAAGTACCAGGCAATAGAAGCCTTAATTTGAAAGGGAAATTACGAGCGAGTCCGATAGGTAAAATACTATCAACGCAGAAAAACCAACAATTGTATTTTAATCAAGTGCTTTACATCAAGCTCTTGAAAGCCACCATTCAGAAAATTTAAGCAAAGTATTCAGATATAGGGAGAACGGCTTTCAAATTCAGCCCTGAATATCGACTCAGGAGATGACTGAAGCCTATAAACTCTCATAAACTTATTCTGTTCAAGTTCACTATTAAAATCATCAATACAAATTGCATTGTTGTGGGGGACAAGTCACATCAATTTAACCTCCAAAGTGATACCGGCTGGAACAAAGCGGCAGCACTGAATTGCAGGAATCGTTGCTGTCGTCATGACAACTCCCCCACCGGGGGTCAGCTGGGGTCACGCCTTTCAAAAGGGCCAGGAGGTAAAGGAGAACAAAAGTGGTGATTGGGAGGTCAATCGAATTTCAATTTGCTATGACTTTTTTGTTTTGCAGGCAGGGGGTCTGGAAATGAAGAGCAGGTGTGACTACGCTGATCCAGCCCAGCTTTCAAGATTATGAAGAAAATTCACGTGATGGGGATACATCACTGTCAGTGGCTATTGACCAAAATGGTTTGAATGGAACACTCATGGTACTCTACTCCAAAAGAAAACACAAAAGAAAATTTCTCATTTTTGTCCAATCGCTCAACGGGCGTAGTGGGGGGCCTGATGTATTGCAGAATCGAAGAGAATTTATTTCGCCATTTTCATTTTCTCGGTGCTTTTTCGAGACGAAATGTGCTGAAACATTGAAGGAAACTAACTTTGTCTGTTAGTGACACTAGTACTCTGAAGTAATGAATCTAATATGGTTCACATCATAAGAAATCAATTCCGTTGAAAAAAAGATTTACAAAAGGTCGGCAAACGCCCAGCTCCTCAATTCCTCTGATCTACCCTCGGGCTTGCGCCCTCTCCAACCCCATTTCAGCCTATGCTCACAATCTACTGCCTAATCCACGTCTCTAAAGTTCCAACTTCCACTCATCATTTCAGCCTATATACCGTTAGTGACCCCATCCCCGGCCGCCTCACACAAAGCCCGGCTAAAATTCGTTTGAAATGCCAAAAACTGGAACTTAATTCTGGTGTTTCTAAACGGGCTACTTTCAAAATAATATTCTAATAATGAACGAGTGTGATAACGTGTTACCACATCGGGTGCTGCGATGATGCTATGATTATGATACATGGGAAAGGAACGATTCAGCAGGACTGCGTCAGGAGTCCAGGGATGACCACCTCCTGGACGCCACCGTTGCAGATTATATAAATTGTAGCACAGTTGCCTTTTATAAGCGAATCCATCATCTATGTGTAGAAAGTTACTCGAAAAGGTACAAGATCATGCAAGAAATCAATGGACAATTTCTAATTATTAAGGACGAGTTTTATTATAATGGACTGAAAACTTACCCTCTTCGATCAGAGCTCTTGATGTCACACTACAGATGTAGTGAGTTATCTTTGGAGCACCGCCGTATCCTGCGAACAGTTAAGTGGAAAAGTCGG